TCCACTACTATAGCAACAGTGGATTGTAATAGTAGTAGGTTGTCTTTTTTTATGAAACTGAAGTAAATGCACTTAAAGTATAGTGGTTTTTTTTTTTTCCTGTTTAGTTAGCTACAGTATGAAAGACTGGTCTTGCTTTTCCAGGACAATCTGGGAGACAATATGGCTCCTCATCCTCTCTGGAAAGGCAAGTTTAATTGTGGACCCTGCCTACTAGCTCCAGGAGATATAACATCCTGAGGTAGAAAATGCCCTCTGGCGGACTCAGAGAATAAACATTTAAATTAAAAATTCCCACTTCTCTTGAATGAACAAGACAAGGAGATAGAACAACACAAGCAACAAGTATTTTGGAGAACTTAACACCGGATGGTAATTATTCAGGCACATTTGGAAACTTAAGCAATATCCTCGACCACTTGAAGTAACTAATAATCCTTTCTTGGAGTTTAACCACATTTTATAACACATACAGTCTACCTTTTCCATTTGTAATGCTTAGTCTTTTCCCACCATTTCTTATGTAATTTTTTTTCAGAGAAGTTTCTTAAGGAGGAAAAGATGGAATACGTCTATAATACCTTTTGACTGGTAGCACTAGGAACCTTCTATTTCAAAGGACTCTTACTGTCTAAATATAGTACAAGGGAAAGGGATAATATAAATATTAATTAAAAGTTTTCATAATTGTATACAATCACAAACACATAAAGATAGCTTTTGTAAATAAAGTTAAGATAAAAAAAGAGAAGGAAAAGCTTCTCTTGAGCAAAAGCTTTGGCTTGAGCAAAAGAAGAGGCTCAAGCTACATTGCCCTTATTTGCTTGTGGAAGAGTTGCCCCACTCCACTGAAATTAATAGTAGCAATCATGACAACTGCCAAATGAATATACAAAATTGCTTTAAACCAAGCAGTGTTACTTTATCCACTCACATTTCAGTTGTTTTCCAACTGTGAACCTTCTCAGGTTCTAAGGGGACGCTACTGATTGAACTCAAAATCTTCCACTGGCAAATGGTTATTTTAATATTATCCTATAGTGTTTCTGTCTAGAAATAACTTTTGTTTATGTATTTTATTTTTCTTTCTTATTTACTCATCTCTGTGTGGTTCAAAGTTCTGTGGGTGACGCATAGTAAAAACACAAATTCATACAAAACGTAAAGTATACAAATGAATTAAAATTCTGTTAAAAACAGAAATTCTAAAAAATACCATATGAGTAATAAAATTATTGAAACACTATAGAGTCTAACATAGGAAGATTAAATAACTGAGAGGATAAAAAGATTGCTGGTGCTGAAAAAGTAGCAGTGTAAGGACTGGGGAAACATCTATGCTGTAAACTACTACTGTATTGAAAACAAACCCACTTCCATGTACCTACTTGCTACATTTCAGTGTATGAAGACACTCAAACAAAGCAATGCAAGTTAGGAGCAGAAGGAGACACAGAAGAAGATATTCTTTTCTGTCCCAGTAACAGCTACTCATCTTAAGAAGATACCCATTAAAAGTGGAAAATTCAAATGCTTTTAAAAGCTGCATTTAACAGAAAACCTGCTCTTCTAACTGAACAGTGCTTCAAAGAGGAGGCACACATATCCATGTTTTGAAACATCCATGTTTTGAAAATGCTACGATTATGTTCTCTTATCAAATAATGAGCTCTAAACCCAAATTGTAAGGGTTCAGAAGAGGATATGAACTCAATCACACTGCAGCTTGCACCTCCCATCAATAAAAGGATCATGTTCTAGAAGACCAGTCTGAATACAACATGCAGATAGTTTCTGCAAATGTAGCTTTTGATAGAGCTTGAAGCATTAAAGTAGTTTTCAAATAAAGTTGGCTCACAAGGCCAGAATTGCATAAATAGATCAGTAAACAAGCCTGGCTTCTTGTCTTTATATAAGGAGACTAAAAGTCACAGAACAGTCTATATATTCAAGAGAAGTAGAGCAATTGGTTTCAACCCATAGATTTATTATTTAGTGTAAACTGATTTATTTTGGGCATACTAGGTTAACCTGTTATATGAAACTTATGATAAATAAGCTTTGGGTTAGAGGCTTCAGTATCAAGATGCACAGGTTCATTTCCTAGCTGTACTATTTCCATATCTGTGCTTCTATTTCTCAGCTATACATCCTTTGAGTAAACAAGGTGTCCTAGATATAATACCCTACAGTAATTTCCCTCCCTCCTCTACAGTTGATTAATCCCTCTGTTTATGATTTCATCCCCTTATGATTAGTTGTCATTATGCATCCCTAGATTCACTTATATATGCCATTGGCTGTCCAGAAAACTACTGAGAGAGAGAATGATTCTGCAAATCCTTGACTGTGGGGGAAGGAATGACAGTTTCTGAGTGCCTTATCTGACCTGATGGAGAATTGCTGCCTGTATCCATCCATCATTCCCCATTTTTATTTCTGCTGTGATTATTTCGTAGCATATAAACTTTCTTCTGTATCAGATAGCAATCTTAGAGAATCAGCCCCCTACAGAATTGGAGTCTACACATAACTTGGCATTCTCATATTCAATAGCCTGCACACTCTGGCTGACCCAATTTGATGCTTTCATCTCCCTTAACTTGCTAAACCATCTTGCTCCAATGCATGAGAATTTAAGCTGCTGTTCCTGTGCATTCTGTACCACAAAAATTTTTAAAAAAAAAAAGCACAAGAAAATTTAAATTCAGTAAGCAGGAGCTGAAGATTGTATGAATGAAATTATTTATGCAAAGTACAAGCATGTATGAATATCTATACATAATCTGAGGGGGGGTTATGCTTTAGTGGGCACTGAGATTATTTGGGCCAGTATAAAAACATCTTTGGGATGTTTATTGAGTAGAACAAAAAGGGCACAAATGAAGTTGGAAAAAACGTTTGTTAAGTTGGAACAGAAGCAAGAAAAACAATTCACAACCTACTGCTACACCAAAGCCTTATCCATACATTTTTGATGGCAGAATGGGAATGCTTTAATGTGGTAACCTTTGAGCGAAAGCTAATCATGTGAGTGGCAGCAGCAAGTTAGTGATTTTTCTATTCCAGGACTGTACTGCTGGCTCTCAGATTAAAGCATTACTATTATAGGGAAATAATCATAGAGCAGTTGCAGGAGTAACTCTTGTTAACGTATGAAGTCCTGGAGACTGCAAACGTTCTGGAACTAACTAGTGAGTAATAATTACTGAATCCTCCTATGTTGTGTAGTTATTTGATCTTGGCTGCACAATAAAATTATAATTTCTACAACTATTCTAGATGAACTGCCAAAATATCTGAAGTACCATCCCACAATCCTCAGTGAATTAATTTTCAAAATACAGTACAAAGGAATGATCTAAATGATGGGGTTGGGAACATTATTACCTCATCCTATCTAGAAAATGACTCGCCATTCGCCTCCACACAAGACTTTGCATGTGGCCAGAAGCAAAGGATTATCTCTGACAGATTGGATTGAATTATATGACAGAACTGGAGTTGACACACCAGCTTGTAGCCTGTTGATGAACAGTTCAAAAATACAAAGGAATGTAAGGGAACAGGCAGCATTCTTAACAAATTGCCAAAGAGGGAATACTGAATGCAGAAGCACAAAACCCTGGGTAAGCTTTTTTTTGGTAGGCCTCCAATGCAGGCTGGTCTTCAAGATCTACAGGTTTTCTGGACATGAGGTTCCTGAGGGATCTTCTGCTGAATGTGTCATCATCACTTGTATGTGTGCCTCCCACTTTCTCTCTTGCTTTCTTCCTTCCCTGTTTTGATCTTACCTATCATCATCCTGTGCACCTCTGTTCAGTGACATTTACTTAACAAACCCCCAAACCCGTTATTGTCTAACCCCCATTTCCATTAGTCCGCAGCCTATCTCAGCTAATGCACTAGCTAATCAAGCCCCACCCTGAGCATCTTGTGTGATCTCCAGCCCACAGCCTTGGCTCAGAGGAATGGCACATGGCCTATGATCTGTCAGTTTCATTTCTTTCTTTTCTGCGTTAAGGACACACCCATTTTTTGCACCAAGAGCCCACAGTCCGGATCTCTCCCTATAGATCAATCTATATCAGAGCTATGAATGAGTCTCAACATGTATTCTGTGAATGCCTTTACACTGTGCAGTGCTGTGATGCATGCTGCATGCTCCTTTTGCATGCTTCTAATCTTGCACATTTGACAAAACTTGCTCTTGTTCAATGGTTGAGTGCATTCTCCTTGAACCCATCCCTTTACTGCTGCTGTCTGCTGCTATCTTGAAAAGATGGAACTTTGTGTTACTTTACAATTTTTACTTTAAAATACAGACAAAACATGAGCTCTCTGGGGAGAACTCTGTGGGAGTTGAAAGATGGGATTCATTTGAGAATGGAAGTAAAACATCATGTGAAACCTAGTAGGGATTCTGAATAGGATTCCTGAGTTTTGTCAACAACTGTGGGAATAGTATAGAGGCCAGAGCTGTGACTGTATAATCTATATCAGCAGAATCTAAAGGTTAGAACAGGACTCTAAAAACAATTTCAACTCTGCTAAAAACAACGTAATAGATTTTTGGAGAACAATAATTAGCAATAATCATTGGTTCTCCCCAAAGGTTTTACAGTCTAATAGACAATCCTAGTCACATTAATGTGAGAATAGGTTCCAATTATTTTTGTGGGATGAACTTCCAAGCAGCAGCAGCATTCAATTGAACTTTTATGTAATTATTATGTTGAATTATTTTTAACCAAATTTCCTAATGGCTGATGCAAAATCCATAGCATCTATGCATAGAAAATGTTGGGTGAAAGAAAAATGAGATAGAACAATTGCAAGTATTTCATCAGTATGGATAAAACATTTGAATAATAGAGACAACACAGGGAAAAATCTCTGAGCTCAGAGTTCTCCCCAAGGCTCTTATATTCTTCCATGCATGACAAGCTGGAAAGTGAAGGAGGTCAAAGATTCACACATTTCTGCTTGAATTTCTCCAGAGATTACTTCGTATGGACTTACCTGTGGCAGACGACAACACGGTCCATTTCAATTCTACCCTTATGGCATTGATCAGGACTGCCCTTGACATCAAGATTGCCAAAGGCAAGTGCCACTTCCATAGACCCAGTTATTTTCCTGAAAAATAAAAGTATTTTGCGAAATGAGACCGAATACAATATAAAGCACATTTTCAGATACTAATACTAATAATATAAATGAGATAATGTTGGACACAAACACTGCTTATGACAGTAAGAAAATGCCTTATACATATAGGGGGAAGTGACGTAGAATAAGTACTCTGCTTCTCAGATTGCCCAATTATTGCAATGTTAACAACAGCTACAGGAAGGCAGGAGAGCATTGAGTTTTTTAAAAAAACTGTCTTCACAATGTGTATTATTAATTCCTTGATTAATTAATGATTAATTACGTGACCTCTAAATCCCCCCTCTTTTTTTCTTTGATTCCTACGTTAGAGTTCTGTTGGGACTTCTAGTAATTTGCTTCAGTTTTTCTTCTTTTATCACAGTGCATTCCTACATCTCAATAAGATTTCTCCCTGCATTTAGAAAATTAGAAATATGAGGCAAAAAATGATGCTAGAATCCATTTCTCTGACTTGCCAGATAATTATAGAAATATTTCAGATCAGGAACAATCAGATATGCTACCTTTCACCCATAATTTGAAGTGTTATCATTAAACGACTGAACATTTTTTTGAAGGATAGTCATCAAATTTGAACATTTTAAAAGCAAAATTAGGATTAATGTTGATAAACAGTAAATGTTTAACATTTCCATGGGAAGGGGTAGAGTTCAGATTCTAGTCATTTGTTATTTACTTCTCATTCCTGGTTTGCATCTTCCAGGGGGGGCTGACAAACAGCAGATGGATGCTGAGTTGAGAAAAGAGATGATGGCAATCTGGCCCAACCTATCCCAGAAAACTCTAGATCTTCTGGTCACCCCTCATAAATGTAAGAGCAACTTTTTAATCATTACTATCAATGTCAACCTTAAGCCATGTCAACCCTATCTATCTCTACCTTTCTATCATTTTCTCAGTATACAAATACTACTTTATAATCCTACCATAATAACTAAGAACACATGAGAAAATTATTTTAAGCAAAAATCCCTCAAAACCTTTTCAGAAAACTAATGAAAAAAGTTATTTTAAAAACACATTTCTAATTCAGTATCACTATTGCTGTTCTTCCTCTTCCTCCTCCCCCTCCCCCTCCTCCTTCACCTTCACCTTCAAATCAGTGTTGACTCCTGGCAACTCCCTGCAGTTTACTGTTTCAGAAAAATAATTCCCACTTGATTCACCATACAAGGGCATACTGACTATACCTCATTGTGTGATGGTTTATATTAGAAGTGTGAATCGCTGAACTTCCCTTCCCCTTCCAAATGGCCATGGGGGTGGCAGATGTAGTATCCTTGTATAGACCTAGTTGAGAGAATGCCTCTCTGGTCAAACATTTTGGGGCTAAAGACCATAGAGCCACCTATAGGTAATACTAAGGAAGCACCCAGTTGGAGAATGATGTTTGATTTCTGTTCTGTTTTATTTACCCTGCAGCTACTGACTTGACAGTGGGGAAAATCTATGCAGCCATGATGATCATGGAATATTACCGCCAGAGTAAGGCTAAGAAGCTGCAGGCCATGCGGGAGGAGCAGGTACATGAGGATTGTAAATGTCAAAAAATATCCCATTGTTCCCCAATCTGAAAATGTTGTGTGAATGATTTTTTTCTATGCTTTTCATTTACAGCAAATCGTGTGTACTTTAAAATAATGTTAAGATTTTAAAAGGCTTTTTTTTCTTTTTGGTGATTACTCCTAATTAATTCTTGTTATACATGTGTTAGGGACTACAACTCAACCCATTGAATGAAGTTAATTCAGCATTTCTAGAGTACAAAAAGTCCTGGACACATTGACAGCAGACCATATTATGCTTCACAAAGTGCTATGGCCTGGCTAGAAAATTCCATAATTTTGTGTGTATGTGTGCATGTGTGTGCAAATCCATATAATTTTACATTCTCCTTTATTTATATGTTGCTAGAAAGCCAAGAGACCCCAACAATAAGGAATAGATGCACAATATAAAAATAATTTAAAAGTACTTATTTTTGAAATTCTTTGGCCAATCTTATCAGCAGACACATTATTTTCACTACATTGTAAGTGTGATTAATCAGAGCCATTCACAGAATAAAACAGACTGTATATACTTGGAAGCAGAGTCTTTGAAAATGACCCCAGCCAGTAATCTACTCCATTTACTTCGTACTTTTTTACAAATAATTTTTTACCTGAAAAAGTCTGAAGCAAAAGCAGAAATAAAAAGGATGTTCATTCCTGCAGATGTCATTGTTTTGAGGACTGAATTATGGGTAGTAGACTGAATGACAGTCAGACACTCAAGATAATAAAGGAGCAGTTGCCAAGTTTTTCCAACATTTATTTGTTCTTAGAAACGCTATAATAATAATTGTGGTTTCCTTTTTGCAATCTGTGAGCAAGATTTCATTAGAACTGTGATTTTTATACCCTGAAGTTTATGAAGTTGGCAGGTTAATGTGGGGGGGGGGGGCAAATAGTGTGTTCAAACAGTTTTTCAAATGGTCTGAACTTTACTGAAAGAAAAGAGGTGATGTGATGATGTCTAGAAAATAGCTCCAGCTGTTTTAACATTAATATTTGTATTATCCTATTCCCTTTAGAATCGGACACCACTTATGTTCCAGCGCATGGAACCACCTTCTCCATCCCAAGAAGGTGGCCAAGGACAGAATGCCCTTCCTTCCTCTCAACTGGATCAAGGAGGTGGAATGTGAGTCCCAGTTTATATAGGACAATTCCATCTACACAGAAACTTAGAGTACTTCAGATGAGGCACTTCACTGAACCATTGCCACTACAATTCATTAGAAACTCACTATCACTGGGAACAGGGCCACAGTCAGTACATTATGCCCTACTTTGAGGGCAAAAGATTCCATTCATGACATCTACAAAAAGGACTTGACAGATGACATCATGAAATTCTGTAGAGACATTACCAATCACTCTAGGCCAGAGAATGGGAACCTTTTGTGGCTGGGAGCTACATTTCATTTTGTAATATTATTTAGCCTTCAAAAGCCACAAGGAGCATGGCAACTGACACCATATTATCACCACAATCGCATTACTATTAACATCAAGAAGCTCAGAGATGCACTTTTGTAGCCAATATGGGTGTTCTGTTTTCCATTGGAAGGAAGTCTTGCTATGCTGCTCCCCAGTCTTCCAGCCCTTTTTGTGAAGAAAATGTGATGGTACAATGCACTGGAGAACACCTGCAGTAGATTGTTGGCCAGCTTGGCAGCAGCTAAAGTGAACAATGATCACTCTTCTTCTAGACTAGCAAAAATATAGATAAACCCATAATTATATTGCTGGAATATCAGCACAGATCTGGAAAAGTAAGGATAACTTAAAAGTGTTTTTGTTTTATTTAAACATGGGTTATAGATGCTTGGGGAAGGGACAGATTAATGGATTATGATTGTGCGCATTGATTCATAACAGTTCGGAAGAGACATGGTTGGAATATGACTTTTCTGTCTGTTTCCAGGTGTATACAGGAAGGAGGAATGAAGGAAAGTGAGTCATGGGTCACACAAAGAGCACAGGAGATGTTCCAAAAGACAGGAACCTGGAGCCCAGAGCGGGGGCGCTTAGAGGAAATGCCAAATAGTCGGACCAATTCTCAGGTGGTTTGTATGCCAGCAAGGTGTTTGAACTGGCAGTTACCTGTCTCTTTACTTTTTCTTTCTCTTATCCCTGCTCAACTATGCTCCTATAAAGCCAGCTATATAGCAGAATTTTTCAGAAAAATAAACACTATGAAATGAGAAATTCTATTTTCCATCAGATCATAGGACCAAAAGATAGAAATTGATTAAGCTAATATGGACTGGATATTTGTTTGTGACACATAACCACAGTTTATTGCATCACCATTCTAACTACTTTATGAGGCTTTGATAGTACAATAAGTGTAAGTTGAGTTGCAAATTGTGTTTGTGGTGAAGGATTGGCAGACTGTGTTAATCTTTCCTTTTGACTCGACTAATGTTGTTTAAATTCATCTCCCTGTTTTCGTGTTTTTAAAGAAAAAACAGGACTCCAGAAATAAAGCAAGCCTTCACAATCACAACACTCAAATTATGTGCACTTCATAAGTTTTATTCTGAGAAATTACATGTATATTTCACTAACGTTCAGTTTCAAACTGAAGGAAGAAACATCGATTACCTACACTATGTTGATGACACTACTCTGATAGCAGAAAATGCAAATGATCTGCAGGTTCTAGTAATGAAAGTCAAGGGGCACAGTTAAAAAAACGGAACTTAGATTAAAAATAAAGACCAAACTAATGACAACAGGTACAGCAACCAGCCTTTGTTGTTGTTGTTCAGTCGTTAAGTCGGGTCTGACTCTTCGTGACCCCATGAACCATATTGCGCCAGGCCTTCCT